CGGTTTGAATGTATGAGATAAAAATGTTTATGTAAAATGCAAGATGGCGGATATCCGGTTAACGAAGCGGTTTTGGAAAAATATATACTATCACTATGTATATTGATTATCTCTTAATTTTGACCCATAGAACCATTTCCCGGAGTTTGGCTGATTATTTACGGCACACACTGTATATTCTACAAACATTAATCTCCACATTACATTACTACTCGAGCAAACCTGGCCATTACTTAGGTTGTCAAGTGTAAAGTAATTAGAACTGAAATGGAAAAAGCTTAACGAGTTAACGAGCATTTGGGTTGAAATGTGGAGTGAGGGAGAAATTTCTTGTGTCCATCAAGAAAGTGTGTGATTTATTGAAAGAAACTTAGGACAAAACTTTTAATTACTGTTGTAATATTTTGTAAAGGTAAACATGACTTGAAATCAAAAGAAGTCATGTATGAGAGCATCTATTAAATGAAAAATATTAATGGAAAAACGTATTTTAAAACAATTTTGTCTTAACCATTTAGCCCAAGTTCTCGTTCTGTGTGGATCATGGTGTTTTGAGTGTATTTTGTTTTTTTTATTTTTTTAGTTTTTACTTTTTAGCTAATTCATTCCATAGGGAAGAAGCTATTTCGTAGGTAGCATGGTAAGACCTGGACGCAGGACCGATGAGCAATATCTTTTAATTTTGACTAGAGGTCGTGATCAATATCTTTAATTTTGACTAGAGGTCGTCCAGTGGTCGAAAACTCGACCAACAATATGTAATGTACAGACTCCTCTATTTTAATCCCACACTGTAAATAAAACATGTGATTGGAATTTCTTCCATTTGCTTTCATTTTCTGTTTGTATCTAGTTGTTATTTCGTCACCAACTTGGAAACCCTAAAGGTCCATGTTAATTTTTGAAATTCAAATTTGTAGTGCTCTTTTTTGAGCCTATTTAAATTTATAAAGGGATTCTACACATGTACAGGAAAATATCTTTCTCACAGAATGTGTAGATTTCCCCTGTGATGCACATGAGCTGAGAAAAGAGTTTTAAAGAAACATGCTTGCCTATTAATATAGATGTCCCCAGAGGCCAAAACACCATTTGAAAGAATTTGTATTTATATATTAATATCACGATAAAACTAGCCATTTTGGTCTGACTTAGATAACATTTTGGGGTGTTACCATATGTAGTGCTGGATGAACATTGTTAATAAAAAGTTCGGGCAAACCAGCAATATCGGGTGATAAGAATGGGATGTTAAGGGGTTTTTGTCAATTAAAAAAAAATGAGGTTTCTAAATTTTCAACTCTAAAAAGCCTAATTGTTATTACAGTTATCTTGTTGAAGTTAAAACAAATAATCTTGTATTTTGATGCGTTGCTGTAATATAGTTAAGTTTATGGAGAGCAAAAAAATGCTCATTAAAAAAATCTCTTGTTATTCTTATGAAAAAAATGCACGCTGTACTAGTAGAAGTATACATTGTTTATGAATATATTTAGATAAATCTTCGTTAAATATAGTTGTTTTATTCTATGCTATTAATATTTTACAAAAAAAAAAACTTTTCTCCCATGTAGCAACAAAATCGTTAAACCTAATCATATTTAAATAGGGAATAGCCTAAATATGACATATTTTAGAAAATATCATAGAAAATCCCACCAGACTAATTAAAAACCGCTTAGTCTGCAAATTTGCTACGCCGGGTGTATTTTTCTCAATTTATTTTCAGTATTAAAAATGTCTGCAATAATCAATTAAACATTATAAACTTACCATCATTAGTACTACTTTGAGTAAAGAATATAAAAAGGTAAAAGTTAAAGACGAATTTAACGAAAAATAAGAAACAGATGTTACAATCAGTTACTTAATAATTTAGTGGCATGATTAATACATTTTGTTAAGCTTAAAATTATTAAATCAAGAACAATTAAGTAGTATAAGCTATAAATCCAAACTAGGTCGTAGGATTGCGTCTAAACACACAAAAATTCAAAGTTAAAAAGGGTCACACAAATATATAAAATATAACACAAATACATTTCGAAATAAATAACGTTACCGAATCACATTTCAAAAATATATTGCTTCGATTTCCCCCCAGTGAAAACACATATTTCCAATATTAAACGTCAGGTTTACAAGCCCGGTTGAATTTACAGTTAATCAAATCGACAAAGGGTCCGGTGATATTCCATTGACAGATTGTCAAGACGCAGTGTTGCGGATATTTAGTGTGTGTCCCGGACCAGCTGTCAATAACAATCAAATAACAATGAAGTTCAGGGATCTGTCAATAGGGAGAAAGAGATTAACAACGCTTTATTCTTTTTAACAGCTTATATTGCGATAAAATATGATCGTGTTAATTTTTTTCTGAATAGATTTTGTGTACTTTTATCGAATTTTCTTATAGGGAAGTAGCTATAACTGTGGGTGGCACGGTAAAACATAGGCCTGGGACCGATTTACTTTTTCATTTTGATGTGCCCAAAAACTCGATTAGTCAAACATTTTTTATAGGCTATGTATAAAAACATCTATAAAACATATAAATGCCCAATTTTTATTACGACCATCGTGTAGGCCTTAAAAACAAATTATTTTTTATGTTGAAGTATCTGTGTACAATTGGGAGAAAAAAGAACTGAACATTTGAATTACGAGAAGAGAATTGTTTTAGTTTGCTTGTTCATGGATATAATGTTGATTAAATTTGGCATATGCATTAATTTCATCATGTACTATTATCGTTTGGTTAAAGACAAATTTTTACCTTCTCCGTAGCAGCAAACATAAGTATTCGTTAAATATAATGTTTTTTTTTTTAATGGGGAATAAATGTGTCATGTTTATTAATATTTTTTAGTGAAAATCCAATCAGGCCAATTTAAATTTTATTTAGTCTGCAGGTTTGCTGAGGTGGGGGTATTTCTATTTATGTAGGTTTGCGTGAGAAGTACTTGAAATAATAGTTTTTGCAATCTGTGATCTTTGAAATGTGTATCTAGTTAGATACCCAGATGATAGAATGCTTATAGATTGCATAAATTACACGATTGAAATTGCCTTGTAATATTCATGAGATAGGGTTACTCAATTACAAAAAAATTAAACAAAAATATGTCATAAATGGCCTGTACAAAGATATTTACCAACAAACAAATGACATTATCATGTGCTAAAAATTAGGATCTTCGAGACAGAATATTGTGTGATACTTTAAAATCATCTAACTAATAAAAAAAAAAAAAAAACTTTATGTACGGAATCATATAACAATATTCACTGCAATATTTCAGTTTCTTAAATAACTTCTTCAATCATCGTAAACTTAAACCCTCTAATCTCAAATTTGTACAGTGGCGAGATTTTTTTCAAGGTTTCTAGAAGCCAGCCAGATGTTAAAGTAGTAAATAATTCTCGTCGGCTTTAAAAATCGAACACCGACAATCATTTAAAAGGATTTAATACATTATTAAACCCTCCCAAGTTTCCTCTCTTCTTGAGGTGATAAAATTTTCAAAAAGATTCTAGTTTTTTATATGTGTAAATACATTCTTTTTATTACCTACCGCAACTTACCCTTATTAAGAGCTGGTTAACTCTTCAAAGTTTCATTGATATATCTTTTAGTGCGTTTTAGTTGTAAGCTGCATTATCCATTATAAAGTCACTTACCAAAATAAAAATAAAAATTGTAATCAATTATAGTTAAGATTTTACAAATAATACAAATTAGTAATACGAACAAGGGTCTTGAAAAATGAGTCAAAATTTATATTATAGTGATTGTGTTTATGAAATGTATGATACTGATATACGAATATTATAACAAATATTTAATATAGTTTTTATTTAACAATGTAGGCCATTGAATATTTAAAATCTGCAACTACTACCACACCAAAATACAATAAGAGTAGACAGTACGCCAAAATAATATCTATCTTAAAGAAGAAGAAAAATATAAATATTTTAACAATGGGATTTTGCAGGATTTAATTAACTTTTTTATGGTTTTATGTTCAATATGCAGTCAATGCTTGAAAAAAAAAAAAAAAACAAGAAGGTGGAAATAGTATATTTCATTACTAGGACCGAAAGTGGCATTTTCCGGAGCGCGCTCAAGTTTTTGTGTGAGGCGAAGCCGAACACAGGAAAATCCAATTTCACATGCGAGGCGAAGCCGAGTATGTGAGAGCTATTTTCACGTACGAGGCGAAGCCGAGGACGGGAATAATGGAGCAAGAGCCGGAAAATAACTTTCGGTACGAGTTATGAACGATACTTTTCATCACGACGCAAAAATACACAAACACAGAATAACAGACCTCAGTAATATTACAACTAGTTTATTTCTAAATTATTTATTTTAAACATCAAAATAAAATCTTCTGAAAGGAAACCTTTGTATATTTCTAACACTAGCGCGCGTAGTGAATAAATGGAGAACTAATTGAGAGCGACGAAAGTAAATTTAGAGCGAGGGAAAATCAGCTGATCGATTTTTCCTCGCCCTAAATTAGAGCTTGGGAAACGGCTACTTTCATTGATGTTAGCTGTTATCGAAAATAGTTACTTTCGTTACGGAGTGATGAAAACATTTTCTCTTGAGGTGCTTGTGCATCAATGAAAAAAATAAGAATACTAGATTCAATAGTAATTTTTATGTGTCAACCATTTCGTCTGTTGGTTATTGCTGTGACATTTTGTCCATACTTTGAATAGACCTACATCATCAGAGGTAGACTTCCGTATATGTTGGCACAAACAACCGAATGAAAATATCGATTATTCGACTGTTTAATTCGATATATTGATCGATTTTTTCATTCGGTTGTTTGTGCCAACAGATACGGAAGTCTACCCATCTTCACTTGTTAGGTTAAACAGTGAACTGAAAGAAAGAGTTTGGCCTATGTACACTATATGAATATTGGGTACAATAATGATTAAAATTTAACCAGCTAATACGATTATAGTACTTTAGCACTTACCGTCTTTGTTCATTGCAGACTGGAAGCACTTGTTCAGTCTACAAGCGCGACACTGGTTGCGATGGGTCTTGTCTATTGGACAGCGACCCTTGAGTTCTCCTTGGGCTTTGCAAGTGTACACTCGGTTGCGATGGATGCTGCGCTTGAAGAACCCGCTACAACCTGAAAAACATGTTGGAGTAAGAAGAAACAAGTGTACACTCGGTTGCGATGGATGCTGCGCTTGAAGAACCCGCTACAACCTGGAAAACATGTTGAGGTAGAAATATGTGTGAATCTAGCTACAATTCAACCATACTAGTATAGTCTGAGCGATGGAACTTGTCATATAACCCTTAGTTTACCAAGGACTGAGCCGCAAACCATGCAAACCATTGGCCAGCCAGAGTCAGGAGACATGTTCCATCATACAGACTATAGTTTAGAATATCTTAGTACAGTATCCCTAATCATCGTGTTGCAGCTTCCCAAAATATTCAACCCGAACAAATAAATATGTTGAAACAAGTATAACTATTGCTAAAATCGAGTGTTATACTAGTTTAAGACTTGCGTTAGTTTTCTGAATCTCATAACACTGGATACATTTATTAAATCTTCTAAAAGAATTCCCGGAAATGTTCAAACCTCATTTGGTTGCTTTTGAATAAATGTCTCCCTCTGGTGGACCAAAGTGTTTGAAATATTAAACAAAAAGCTAATTGTTTGTGGCGAATTCACTAAAATCAGAAATTAATAATGAACTTTGATAAGATAACATACATCGTCAGAAAATATAAATAAATCAACTTATATTATAAAGACTTCTAGTAATTATTTTTAAATAAAGCATACTACAAATTTTCAGTTTCGGCGAACCTTAACCATCCCACATACACAAGAACTCTAGGAACATTTAGTACTATTCCAAAACATACACAATTTTAAATTGTTAACCTATTTACCGTAGTATAAATGTGCTGCATATCATACAATATATGATAAGATAATTTTATTTGTAGTATAGTGTGAACTAAAAGTTTGTTGCAGAGGTGTATTGGGTGTATTGTAAATTGGATACTGTGGGTGTGTTGTATATTGTATACTGTGGGTGTGTTGTATATTGTATTCTAGGGGTGTGCTGTTTAATGTATAATGTGAGTGGGTTGTTTATTGTATAGTGTGGGTGTGTTGTATATTGTATACTGTGGGTGTGTTGTATATTGTATTCTAGGGGTGTGCTGTTTAATGTATAATGTGAGTGGGTTGTTTATTGTATACTGTGGGTGGGTTGTATATTGTATACTGTGGGTGTGTTGTATATTGTATTCTAGGGGTGTGCTGTTTAATGTATAATGTGAGTGGGTTGTTTATTGTATACTGTGGGTGTGTTGTATATTGTATACTGTGGGTGTGTTGTATATTGTATTCTAGGGGTGTGCTGTTTAATGTATAATGTGAGTGGGTTGTTTATTGTATAGTGTGGGTGTGTTGTATATTGTATACTGTGGGTGTGTTGTATATTGTATTCTAGGGGTGTGCTGTTTAATGTATAATGTGAGTGGGTTGTTTATTGTATAGTGTGGGTGTGTTGTATATTGTATACTGTGGGTGTGTTGTATATTGTATTCTAGGGGTGTGCTGTTTAATGTATAATGTGAGTGGGTTGTTTATTATATACTGTGGGTGTGTTGTATATTGTATACTGTGGGTGTGTTGTATATTGTATTCTAGGGGTGTGCTGTTTAATGTATAATGTGAGTGGGTTGTTTATTGTATACTGTGGGTGTGTTGTATATTGTATACTGTGGGTGTGTTGTATATTGTATTCTAGGGGTGTGCTGTTTAATGTATAATGTGAGTGGGTTGTTTATTGTATACTGTGGGTGGGTTGTATATTGTATACTGTGGGTGTGTTGTATATTGTATACTGTGGGTTTGTTGTATATTGTAAACTAGGGGTGTGCTAGGGGTGTGTTGTATATTGTATTCTAGGGGTGTGCTGTTTAATGTATAATGTGGGTATGTTGTTTATTGTATACTATGCGTGTATAGTGTGTAGTGTATATTGTATACTGTATACTGACCGTCACAGCTGTAGATGCCGTAGTGTTTGCCGGAGCTACGGTCGCCGCACACTTTGCACGGAATGTCTAGCAGACGATCACCTGTCAATCAAACACAAAAATGAGAGGAGTTCATTTCAAATTGTTGCAAAACACACCCACGACAAAAACATTTAGACAGCAAAATTAACTATACAAAATATCGAGACGCCTCTCTCTGTAGTTTATGAAGAGATTGTTGGAGGGAAAGAGGTACAATAAAAAATATTTGCTTCCCGAACCTTAAAAGTTAAAAAAGACATTCCTCATTTAATTTGTAAATGAAAATACGAGTAACAAAACATATATGATTTTGCATAGTTTCGTTGTCACAATCGTAATTTGATTGCAACATAGTATATACCGTTAAACCCATATACCCAGGAGTACAACATGCTGTAGTAGAATGTTAAATTTATAAACAACCTAAACAACAATTTATATAGCTTCTAGCTTTGTTACACATATATTATAACAGACACGGTATGGATCATAAACATAAAGAATTATGTCACCCGAAACTAAACATTATTGGTTTAACATTACTTTAATAGAAACTAGTGGTCGTCCTGTGGTCGAAACTCGACCAAAAATAATTAATGTACAGACTTCTCTATTTTCTCCCCACACTGTAAATAAAACATGTGATTGGAATTTCTTCCATTTGTTTTGATTTTCTGTTTACATTTTGTTGTTATTTCGTCACCATCATGGCAACCCATATGGTCCATGTTAATTTTTTGAAGTTTTCAAATTCATTTTTTGTTCTTATTTGTTAGCCTATTTTAATTTTTAAAAGCATTCTGCACATCTACAGGAAAATATCTTTCCAACAGTAGGCGTAGATTTTCCCTGCGATGCACACGAGCTGAGAAAAAAGGTTTTAAAGAAACATGCTTGCCTATTAATATATAGATAGATGTTCAAACCATATGTTAATGTTATTAGTATAGAATTCGTGCCAGGTACGTCATTTGTTTATGTTTACTATCCATACCGTTTCTGTTATAATATTTGTGGGTTTATTATTACCAAATCACAAATCACACTACAATTTTGTTGATTTTTCTTACCACCCTTTTGCTAAGAGCGAAACATACTAAAAAGTTAAAGTATTCGGTAAAACTGAAACGAAACTATGAAGATTTTCGAAAAGTTAAGTTGGCAGCGCTGTATCACACTGCGGGATTCGAAGTGTAATCTTCTTAGGTTACATTATGTTGGCACTCTGACAGATAAGTTAGTTTCTGAGAAGCCCTCGGGCCATTGGTTAATGGATTTTGTATTCACTCCCTCCCCGCCCCTCTTCGATACCACAGCCGTGAGTGAGCTAGAAAGCTATACATCTCTCTCATCCCTTGCTCTTTGCTTCCAAATCACAGCAAGCTTTGTCGGCGAATCGTTGATGAGTTAATTCCACTGAACCGATCGGATTCAGATTCAGGTTTGGCATACGAAAACAGATTTGTCAAAGGTTTTCAGAAAAAAAGTGTGTACGACAAAGTGACGAAATTGTATTGTATTAAAATTGTCGATTTATAATGTATTATATTTGATTTAAGTATTGTTTATCATTTTGTAAAATATGTAGATGTAGAAGTTTATATTTTATGAAAAAGTAGATAGTTTTACATGAAAATGGCAATTTCATATTTCCTATCAGCAAAAAAGGAAAGCGATTTTATCAGGCACTGAAAACACGTAATGACCTAGAACGAAATCACATACAATTGATAGTTCTCTTTAGAGATTATTGTTGTTAAAATTTGATTGGTTAATTGTTGAATTCTCTTTGCACACTGGACCAATTGTAGCTCTTTATCTTGACTTTCTTTCTTGATGGATATTCACACAATGTGTTTTCCAATATATTTTAAAGCAGTTCTACTGTATAGAAACTGATAAGTGTTTAAACTGTTTATTTTATAATAAAAATGTTTGAATTTACAACAATGCTAATATTGATATAAACATTCTTTAAGCTATAAAAGATTTATAAATTTTACACGATAGAATTATATTTAGTCTAATAACATATTATTATATTTGTTAGTATTGAAATTACATTTAAATTTAAACCGTAATAGAACCTAAACCTTGGTAGAATAAAATTATTCTGGACTTACTTGAATCAATAAATTGAAATAATGAAAACTAATAAATACTTGACAATAACTAAAGTTAGAAATAAGAAATAACCCATATTGAATTGTTTTCACATAAAGAACGCATACGTTTTCCGAACTATGTAGTGCTCGACGGTTAAATCAATAATGATTAAAATCATTTATTGTTGTTTAGTTATGTAGCGTCGTAGTTATCTAATCAACAATGTATGTCATTGTAAACTTAAGTGGTTCTATAATCAATTATCAACTTATAACTTTGTCAAGTAATGTACTGATTCAGTTACAACTTATATTTTGTTCGAGATACTCAGTAATAGTGTTACACTTCATATTTTTGCTAAGTAATGTGGTGTTGTAGTATTGGGAAGTACTTATATCTTTGGCAAGCTATGTATGTGCGTTGATTTTCATAGTATATGTAAAGTAGTATTGCAATTAGAAAGATTTTACACGCTTTAAACAAAGGGATGCGCAATCAAATTTTTTGTACACCCCGGAACTACACGGAAAACGAAGTTGCTGTTCACAAGGCTGGTCAAGAAATTTAAACAATATCGTTTCCTACCACTGCATGGAAATGATCTCATTGCCATATCTGTAAACAGTACGCAAAATAGCTTATTGCCGCTCTAGGGTGGGAATGGATCATTCCCGCTCGCTAAATCAGCTTATTTCGTAGTTGTCGTTTCTACACCAACCGCAGCCGCGGATCTAGTACGTTAACAACTTGTACGAAAATAATATAACATTAAGAAAGCAAACATAGCCTAAATGACATTTTATAAACATCTAAAAAGTTAATCTGTGTGTTATTTTAAATTAATGTTAGGAACACTCTTTTTTGTATTACGAGCACATAAAGTCATTGTTGCTCTTGAAATGTATGGAACCTCAGCTAGAACTGCGTGCGGTCATCTACAGCTCTCGAGCGGTAATTATGTACTTTGCGCTCTAGTACACAAATAGCTGTTATAAGTTATTTGCGCTGTACATTTTTAAATTGTAAGCTCGTCCCTGGGGTATACTTCCATATCTGTTGGCACAAACAACCGAATGAAAATATCGACCTAACCTAACTAACCAAAAGATATATCGAATTAAACAATCGAATAATCAATATTACTTATTCGGTTGTTTGTGCCAACAGATATGGAAGTGTACCCCATCCCTGTACGATTTTCAACACGTTTATCAAGCTATGAAGTGCCATAACCTATCTTTCATTGTCACACTAAACGCTGTACTGTTATCATACTATCTTTGCCAAGTTGTGCAGCTGTGTATTGTTACCAACATTACAACTTGTAGTTACCCTACACAGCGCTATAGCCTCAGCTTCAACTTTGAGCCTATTTGAGATGGTAATGGCGTCTCCGTTGCCACACTTCAATATTTAATGAACCTGAAGCCACAGCCCTAAGTCAGCCGCTTGCGCGAGCACGCTCGTCTCTAAGTACCTTACCGTGTCTAGCTAACACTTCTTAAAGCCTCAATTAAATCCTCCTCGCCACTTATATACTCAACGCGTCTCAAGGTGCCTTCCCAAACAGCTGATACATGTTGCATACTTTATATTAATTTAATTATAAAAGTTATTTAGTTTATTTTTAATTTATACTTTTTTAAATGTAAAAAAAAATATTCCTACTTGTGTGGTCAGGTAAAAAAATATTTTAAAATATCTCTAAAGGAGACCTTTTCTTACAAATTAAAACCTCTTGCAATTTTTATACCTAAAGCAACCAACCAAAGTCAAATCTAAAGTGTACACTAGCAAAGTTACATTGTAAGTCGTATTGACTTAATATCGTACTAAAGATTAAATTTTATAAAACATAACAATGATGTCGGTCGACATAGCAATTTTTGACTCAATGTGAGTTGTAAGTTTACTTGGGTTTAAATATACACAAATATGAAGTACAAATTTTTAAATTCATGGTTGAATGGTTGAACTTGATCTTACATCTGATAGGTAATAGTTTTAGCACGCCATCTTACGTAAAATGTGAACGCTAAGAAAATAAACAGAGTTTCAAGAAGAACATAAATACAGCCTAATACGTATAAAAAATGTTTTAAAAGAAATATATTAACCTGTAGCTCCATCGTAAAATTACATTCTAAAATTTTCTTAATATTTCTAACATTTATATAAACAGAAATGCAACCTAAATATTCAAGGAACCCCTAGTAGTTCTTCTTATATTTTTGTGCTGCTTTGGTAGAGAGAAATATATTATGTACAGTTGCTTATTCTTTTTTTTAAGAACATAACAGCTTGAAATAGATTACGTATCACTAGTATCCGGCCAAACAAAACAAAATAAAACACATTGGTATTCACCTGAATTTCAACAGAAGACCAACAACCTAAAAATAATCTTAAACAATTTGTACAAAAATAAATTTCAACTAACTTAAAAATGAAATAAATAGCTTTTCTTAATGCGAAAAGAGGATTCTTTCGGACATTTGATAATTTTGAGGGATGAGAATCGGCAGACAAAAGACAGGGGGATTAAAAATGTGAACAAAACTAAGTAGCTTTGCGTGGGGTGTGGGGCGCTCCCCCGGATTATGTCACATTTTATGTTTAAGTGATTCTGTTGATTTATTGTGATTAATTTTCACCTATGGGGTCGATGGGGAGGAGCTCAAACGAGTTTTGAGCGATCCAATTATTGGTGAACACTCTCATACACTCTCATCTTTGTTAAATTGATTAACCTTTCCATGTATCAACCGAGATACAGGGAGCGGCAGAAATATCTGACGGTTTTCAAGCGAGTACCGTCCGGCAGCCAAGTGGAGGAGGGTGGTGGGGAGCGGCTCATTCTCAAGGCCAAGTGAGACAATTTTAGTCGCCATAGAGCAGTGGACCGGTATACATCGCGCGTTTGTCGTTGAGGCGTATTTTAAAAATGGCGATTTTGTTGTTGATAGCAACGTAAGTTTCGCAGGCATTTTAATGTGGCTCGTGGGGAACCTATCCCATCCCGAAACACAATCGGATACCTTTAGATCCACAGGATCAACTGCAAAACGTAGGCCTACAGGCCGTCCAAGGTCAGTGAGGACGCCGGAGAACGTGGAGCGAGTGCGACAAACTGTGCTAACGAGCCCGCATCGCCCGGCGCGTGGACAAGCTGCTGCTCATGGCATGTCTGAGCGCTCTATTCGACAAATTTTGCTGAAGTTGTTGGACGATTGCTATTTTATATGGGTGAAAGTGAAGGTCTGAGTGCAAAATTCGTCGAGTAGAGCGCTCAGACATGCCATGAGCAGCAGCTTGTCCACGCTCCGGGCGATGCGGGCTCGTTAGCACAGTTTGTCGCACTCGCTCCACGTTCTCCGGCGTCCTCACTGACCTTGGACGGCCTGTAGGCCTACGTTTTGCGGTTGATCCTGTGGATCTAAAGGTATCCGATTGTGTTTCGGGATGGGATAGGTTCCCCACGAGCCACATTAAAATGCCTACGAAACTTACGTTGCTATCAACAACAAAATCGCCATTTTTAAAATACGCCTCAACGACAAACGCGCGATGTATACCGGTCCACTGCTCTATGGCGACTAAAATTGTCTCACTTGGCCTTGAGAATGAGCCGCTCCCCACCACCCTCCTCCACTTGGCTGCCGGACGGTACTCGCTTGAAAACCGTCAGATATTTCTGCCGCTCCCTGTACTTTTGAATTATATTTAAATGAAATATTGTACAGTATAATGTTGTATTGTACAGTATAATGTTTTATTGTACGGTATAATGTTGTATTGTACAGTATGATGTTGTATTGTACGGTATAAGGTTGTATTGTGCAGTATAATATTGTATTGTATAGTATAATGTTGTATTGTACAGTATAATGTTGTATTGTACGGTATAATGTTGTATTGTACAGTATAATGTTGTATTGCACAGTATAATGTTGTATTGTACGGTATAAGGTTGTATTGTGCAGTATAATATTGTATTGTATAGTATAATGTTGTATTGTACAGTATAATGTTGTATTGTACGGTATAATGTTGTATTGTACAGTATAATGTTGTATTGCACAGTATAATGTTGTATTGTACGGTATAAGGTTGTATTGTTCAGTATAATGTTGTATTGTACAGTATAATGTTGTATTGTACGGTATAATGTTGTATTGTACGGTATAATGTTGTATTGTACAGTATAATGTTGTATTGTACGGTATAATGTTGTATTGTACGGTATGATGTTGTATTGTACGGTATAAGGTTGTATTGTGCAGTATAATATTGTATTGTATAGTATAATGTTGTATTGCACGGTATAATGTTGTATTGTACGGTATAATGTTGTATTGCACAGTATAATGTTGTATTGTACGGTATAATTTGTATTGTTCAGTATAATGTTGTATTGTACAGTATAATGTTGTATTGTTCAGTATAATGTTGTATTGTACGGTATAATGTTGTATTGTACGGTATAATGTTGTATTGTTCAGTATAATGTTGTATTGTACAGTATAATGTTGTATTGTACAGTATAATGTTGTATTGTACAGTATAATATTGTATTGTACAGTATAATTTTGTGTTGTGCTGTATAATATTGTAGTGTACATTATAAATATGCATCTTTTTTCGAAAATTATTGTTTAGCTCGATTTTGCACACGTAATAAATTTCTTTCTTCATTTAATTTCTCACTTTTCCTTCAATCTTCTTTATTCGAAATGCCATGTCTTGCGTGTAAGTCTAAGGAAGATCCATTAATTAAATAATAAGTGTTTATGTAGTATAACTAAAGTTGGTTATAAAACATCAATTACAATATGAAGTAATTTGATACAAAACTCTTATTTAAGATTTTGGTAAAGTGGTAAATTAAAATAAGATGCTAATTGGGTAAAACTTATCCATGGCAATTAAGTTCATTTAACATTTAATACTCGCATAGTCAGCTGTAAGTAAATAGTCAAATAAAGGACTATTCCTTTATACTAGACGGTAAACTGCAATAGGATTTTCTGTTTAATAACTAAAGTACATTTCGTGTACAGTAGTTGTATTATATTACCTTAGATAAATTTGAATTTGTTCCATACGAAATCTGTGTGATTGTTAGTAGATTTAATAGACATTTTTGGGAACTCTCCTGTTTACAACATATTCAACATGTTAATTAACAAAAAAATTCAAATCTGTCCAAATATCAGTGCATTCCAAGCCTATTTACGATGGATAGGAGTTTGTTAGTAAACAGTTGCAAATAACTAGTGTCAGACCTAGCTATTATTCCCTATTCAAGTAACTGTTACAAGTGCATACCTGTTCCCAGTTGTAAATAACTAGTGTCGGACCTATTATTTCCTATTAATGTAACAGTTATAAATGCATTCCTGTTTCCAGTTGTAAATAACTAGTGTCAGACCTATTATTTCCTATTAATGTAACAGTTACAAATGCATACCTGTTCCCAGCTGTAAATAACTAGTGTCGGACCTATTATTTCCTGTTAATCTAACAGTTACAAGTACATACCTGTTCCCAGTTGTAAATAGCTAGTTTTGGAACTATTATTTCCTAATAAAGTAACAGTTACAAATGCATACCTGTTCCCATCCTCCGGTTAAAGACGAAGGTCAAATCATGCTGAGGGCGTTCCAGCGCGTCCCCCTTTAGAGAAATTGTTTTCTGAAACAAAAATAAAATCCTGAACATATTTGATATTTTTTTGCATGCAAACTATCACCAAATAGTTTTTATTTCGGTATTTTATATGTCAATAGTTCGTATCTTGTGAATAATAGAATATAATGTTATTTCCAACGGATTAATCACCACAAAACATGATGATAAAGAAAAATACGTTTTAAAATCAACGCTAATAATATCACAGAATTAAAAAGATAATATGCAGTGAACTGAATTGCTGCAAGTGTGTGGAACCTTGATAACACGTCACCCTTCATAACAAGTGTCGTTTTCAAATACCCTAGCTTTATATATTACCCCTAATCATGTTATTAAAAACCTCGATGACAAGTCAAGCTTGATTAAAAGGTCTTATTTGATAATCCCCTTGAGAGACTTGTTATGAAGTTTGAGTTAATCACTGAAGCATTTGGATAATGGTGATAATTAACAAAAATACAAAGTTAAAATGTTGAAATTATAGTTTCTAACAATTTAAAATATATTTTTATACCTTCAACATCGAATTAATTGGTTAATACAAAACTAACACGGGTCGTTTTTGGATTTCTTAAGGTGATCCTATGTAAATAAAATTATTTTCTGTACATTAATTGGGATGTCGTTTGTTGCATTCTACATTCGATAAAAGCAGAATGTGTACTTAGACTAACTCTATCTTTTTCCATGAAAATGTTAGTCTGTCTGGTGGTATAGAAGTACCCTTATTTGCAAGTGCTACACGGAAAATACAAGAAGAGCCAGGTAACATAAAAAATATATACCTAGAATAAATTATATCCTTTCAGATCCTGACTCATATTTTCTCGAGCTGTGTAGACTGTGGATAGAAGAATGTGGAAGTAACAACTCACAAACTGTGGATCTTACAGAAAGTTAATTGTTGTTGCTATCAAAACATGCGGGTTGGTTTGACCACGCTTTTTGACCAAGAGTATATTATTAGTTTGGGTTAATTTGGCCTTTGTGTATAATACGTTTTCAGAAGTAATGGAAAAATACTGTTGACTAAGGTATGTTTATACCTTTGACAACATATACACTACCGAAATGATGTACCTATTCCATTCTTACGTTGTTTGTATTCAGTTCGAAATAAAAGCCCTCTTCTGCAGCAAACCCAAATCTTAAAAGTGAATTTTCATGAGTGAATTTGTAAGCGATTTTCTCTTTGCCTGGTTGGATTTTTACTAAAACATTCCCTATTCAATTTATATTCGGTTAAAGATTACTTAGAATTGCAGCTATATTGAAGGTGAAAAAGTGGGGTTTAACTATTTGTCTGTTTAAGATCTATGAAATAGTTGAAATAAGATTGTGAAGCTGTATGTATTGAGGGTTTAGAAATTAGAAACACGATTTTAACCCACAAGACCCTCCGTAACCCCCGTTCCCAGATTACGATTATTCTGGTTTTCAATCTTACGTCGTGGTTTTCGAATACACGTGGTTCACACGTTTTACCAAATTTAATCAATATTGAATGATTTTCACTCAAGTTATCGTGCCTATGGACACACTCATTCATAAATAATATATTTTGAACGAATCTTGATTTTGGTATATGGGGAGGCAAAAATAATAAGGTAAATCTAGTACCGGGCCGAGCCTCCTCTAATGCAAGACGGCGGCGTTGGTGTTCGGGGTGGCAACGTCGCAACGTCAGGCCTATTGGTAATAACAGAAATAACCAAAGTGTAAACATAAACATTGCCTAATGCTATGCCCATACTGTTCACTATATATTAGTGAGACAGTTGTTTCCGTTTTTCGTTGCATTTACAGTAAAAATTGTTTTCTGACTTAAATAATATAATAACTATAATAAATTTTATAGTCATGCCTAAACCAAGGCCCCGCTGTTTTTCTAGTGGGGCCTTGTCTAAACATAGTTATAAACGAAATATAAACAAAATATATTTATCCATTTGATCACATGGATTAACATCTCCATCGTATAGTTATTTCACCACGTCCAATTGAACGTCCAATTGATTTATTGTTGTTTTCCATGACCATTGCTTGCTGGTACATTGTGTCATGTTCAAGTTAACGTAAAGGATAACTTACTATTGACTATAACCTAGAAATTCCATCCCCATGTTAAATTTGTAGCCAGCTTTTTTTCATCCAAATCGTCTAGCTGATGTGAGCCACATACAGATTGCGCTAATCTAAATTACTATATTCTGCCGAATACACAATCTTTTTAACCGAGTCAAACTTAGAGAATGACTTATTATGAGGTATATCAACTGTTATGACCCACCAACCTGGTCAGCAACAAAAATAAGGTATAAAATAGAATTTTAGACACTAGCACATTCTGTGACTGGCTCACACAACTACACCCTTTCTTAATAAAAAATTAGCTACAACTGATCCATATAGATGGGAAGTCTAATCACTTATTGTAAGTCCCCCATTAAATACTATGAAAGATTAAAATATAATATAAATCGTCATTGCCAGCACACTCAATGTGAGAGGTTTTTGAAAACTGCATTATTTTTTAGTAAGAAAATAACTGAATACATCAGGTCCATATAAATTAGAATGTCTACTTTAGTAATCTAAGTTAACGATTGTCCTCTACAGTCTACATGCTATTTAATAATAATGAAACCATTGAAGGGTGTTGATAGTGTAATATTAGTACAGACTCATCCAGAGTATATCAGAGAGCTGATTATAGTACCGAGGCACGGCGAGAGAAAAGTGGCAACCCTGCAGTACCGGCTTACCGAAACAGCTGTTGCACTGATTCATAACGGAGCGTCTGCGCGATGTTAAAGTTTACACGTTTGTTATTACCATAATGGGACGCCGGTGCGACGTTGCCACACCAACGCAAAAGTCAGCTGATTATTGTTCAACACCCAAACAAAACTGTTGTCGGAAAGACATACTTTAATCGTTAGAATTGAACGACCTGCTATACCCGTCCTTCGCAACAGGATATGAAAAAAATAATATGCTTCTTTAGAACAGATTTATGAAATATTTATACACCCGTAATTAAATAAAAAACAAAACTCAATTTTTACTTGGTTTGATGCATTTTTTTGATTTTGATTCAGGTTGAGTTTATGTTTCCTAGTCAACCTAGTACGGTATGAAAGAGACACTATGATATACCATAGCTCTATGATTTAATTTGAAATTTAAAACCCTACTTATATTTTAAGACAAAAGATTAAAAAAATCTAACATTTTGCAGTAAAGAAATACAATCAATACTTCTTGATATTGATGTAATTTTAGAAGAATATATTTTTCTTCAATTTTAGTCAAGCCTCTTCACCTGTAGCTCACTAAGTTTCTAGATTTCACTGAACACGATAATCAAAATTCTACAACACTTTTACTACCTTTCGTAAATGGACCAACCCTATTCAATTACAAAGTAGTGTAAATTTTGAAAACGTGTAAGGCGGAGCCTTTGGGAAATCGGCCTGTGGGGCAGAGGCCTCAGGGAATTAGTTCATACCAGCTCAGAGTAATAAAACAAAAAAATGTTTTATTACTCTGAGATACCAGTAATCTTCGGCAAATTTACACACCCCACGCTAAATTTGTATGTGCCTTAAACCTATATTTTTTATACTTAATGCCCTTAAACGATGACCACATATTGGACCTTTCAAGAATATAACAGATCATCTCTTTGTAGTAGGGTTTTGAATTACAATTACAACGGAGTTGAGTATTCATAAAAATTGCCTAATACATTTAAAGCCATCAATGCACATTATATTATTATGGTTAAAGATAAGCGCGAATAAATAAACTTATTTATATTAATTGTTTCATGGCGCCTTCTCAATTTTCCTGCAACTTATTCGCAGTATCTGTTTTGCCGGTCAGCGCCGTTCGATTTAAATTGTAGAGTTTTATTTTTGCTCCACACAGAAATTCCGTACTATAACCGGAGTATTATCTCAAATTGGCTAATATATATATCATACTGAATAAGACTAATTTAACAATTACAATTTACAAATTGGTCTTTAATTACTAAGATCATGCATAGTAATATTCCGGTAATTTGTATTATTGTATTGTAATCGTATTATTAGGATATACAACAAGCTTTCAAGTTACATCAACTACATAACAAATAGTTTATATTCATGGGAGATATAAAACAAATTAAAACAGTGTGTCACGTTTTGAAAAATACACCCGTGTTTACTTACGCTGGCAGTTAGCATTAAAATTGACAAAACCTTCGTTTTGCTGTTGAGGTTTTACCTTAATTACCAAAAACAGCCAATACGAAATGTACATATAAATGAATTTCATACTAAAATCTAAAGTTGTTTCCCCCAAAACTAATTTTGTAATGAATAACTAAACAAAATAAATAAACTATCATTGATACATTGTTGTTTATGAACTGTTAAATTTCTTTAAAAATTTAATTAAAGCGAAATTCAGCAATAACAGTTTCAAACATTGTTACGAAAAACCTATTAAAAAATGTAGTTGCATAATTGCTATTCATTAAAATGATTACAGAAGTAAGTTTACTTTGCTAAGCAAGCACCGTGGTGAAATATAAATATGAAATTGTTAAACATATTAACCTTACCTGAATAGTGTTATGCTTTGTAACAATATATTAAACACAATTTTTACAGCTTTAACAATATGATTAGTCAATAACTTATTTTCTAGACTTAAAATAATAATATTTTAAATAGTATTATTTTAAAATGGCATAACAACAATTTTACAACGTTACTTTTCTGAACTTAGTTTAATTTCAATGCAGTTACCCTGTAATAAAAATAAGACTAAGAAACCTATCGCCTTATAAAAATATAACCATATATATACAAAACAGTATTGTTTAAAGCATCTTTTAAATTTTAACTTTTAATTCTTAAAAAATCATCATATTT